CGCTTCGCCGGTGCGGGCCAGAGCGCCCCGGGTGTGTGCCTCCCGCGCTCTCCCGGCGTTACCTGAGGCAGGACAGGGCAGCCGGAGGGGTCCCTCCCGCCGGCAGGGAGAGACAGCGGCCAAAGGGGACCATAGTAGCCCTCACAGCTCGGTGACGGCGGACGGCTCCTCAGCCTGCGGAGGCGGTGGGAGTCCCTCGCGCAGAAGCCGGCGACTCGGCGGGGCTAGCGGTGGCAGAGGACGAGAAGGCTACGGCCATGGCCCCTCAATGGGGACCGCTCTCCCCGCCTTTTCGGCGGGGCCAGAAGGACTATCCAACCGGCGAGCTGGCAAAGGTGACTACGAGCTCCGCTAGGCTCCCGGGCCGTGAGCGACTGAAACGCCAGTACCCCGAACAGGGGAGCTCGGAGGCGGGGCCTCCAAGGGCACGCCCCCTCAGCCCTCCCCACCCCCCCGGACAGCCAATCAATCGTCAATCCTTGATAAACGAGCTGGTGGAATTGCCCAATTAGCGTTAAGGAATGCCACGTGGTATGAGGGAGCACAATAGGCGTCCAGAAAAGCCAATCAACAGCCCTAGGTGGCAACACGGAGAATGAAGGGAACCAATAGGGAGGAAGTAGAGATAAAAACACAAGCGGCAGTGTGTTGAAAGGCGGAACCAAGCAGGAAGGAATACACCTGGGGAAACCCAAGTCCAGGAACCTCTCAATGGGCGGGACAGTAAACAAAGGACGAACCAATAAAAGTGCCAGATCCTTAAGCGACTGGGAACTAATAAAGCCAATTGAAAATGAACTAGATTGGCGCGGGTTTTGGAATGGAGAATGAAGGAAAGCTATGTGAACTCTGTCATGAAGGATCTCAACATCAGGGCTGGGAACTTGAATACATAAATAATTATTAGTGACTTGAAACTCATAGCAGAGTTCTGCCCAGCCTGCCGATAGGGTCGCTATGAATCGCCATCTACTCCATGGCAGTGAGTGTTCTTTGAGATAGTAAGAGCCAAGAGTAAGGTATACCTCAAGGTGTACCTCAAAATACTGAGGTAGCAATTTATCTAGAATTAAGATTCAATTTGGTGACATCGGCTTAGAGAAGGTAACATTGGAGCTGGCTTGAAAATAGGATTTCAAAAGTACTGGCAGGGGGTGGACGGAGGCACCCGAGTGGAGGATACGGATTCTTGTCAATTGTTCAATAGGCATGTTATTTCCTCATGCTTTCCTTATGCCTAGACCTCAAGAATGCATAATCTCTTGCCTGAGTCGACTGAAACACAACAAAGGCTTCAAAGGCCAGAGCAGGCCAGGACATTAGGGCCTTCTTGCACTAGCATAGAATGGAGGTAGAGATCTCCATTCAAATATTTTTAAACTTCCCTCTTTGAAGGAGAGGCTGTCTTGAAATATGAGTGAGATTTAAATTTTATTGGTGACTGGTGTGTGTGGTACACCACAGAAAGATGAGACTTTCTACTTCTGTAAAACGTTATAATCTCGCTTTTCTGCCTCTTTCCGGTGTTCAAGATGTCGAAGCAAGGACGTGGTGGGTCCTCCAGTGCAAAGTTCTGGATTTCCCTGCGTCTTCCGGCCGGAGCTGTGATCAACTGAGCTGACAACACAGGAGTCAAAATCTACATATCATCTCTGTGAAAGGGATCAAGGGCCGGCTGAACAGACTGCCCGCTACCGGTGTGGTGACATGGTGATGGCCACAGTCCGAGCTCAGGAAGAAGGTACATCCTGTGGTGGTGATAATGACAACTAAAGTGCTATCAGAGAAAAGATGGTGTTTCTTTATTTTGAAGATAATGCAGGGGTCAGAGTAAACAATAAAGGCGAGATGAAAGGTTCTGCCATCACAGAACCAGTTGCAAAGGAGTATGCGGACTTGTGACCTAGGATTGCGTCCAACGCTGGCAGCATTGCGTGATTTATCCATGTATTTGTAAAAACCACCAACCAGGGGCTTAATTGGAGAGCAAATGTTTTGAGAATGATGAGAGCAATGAATGCACAAATGTGCTTTACACAATTGATGTATGTATGGATTGTGATAAGAGTTGTATGAGCCCCTAATAAAATGATTTTTTTTTTAAAGAAAAGAAAATCCACTGGGCTTGGCAGGAAGCTCACACTGTTGACAGTCACATTGTCTCTTGGAGCTGTCATTTCCATAGCTCATTCAAACTAGCTCAGGAAACTGTCCAGTTTTATCATCTTATCTCCAAGGAAGATTCTGCAGGGTGTAGGGATTGTGCTTGATGATTTAGTAACACTCAGTCTGCTCTTGGTATCAATTACACAAATTCTTAACTCCATGATCCTGAAACACATCTTAACAGAGACACAGAACCTACCCTTCAATCTAGTCTTGGTGCGAGGCAGACACTAATTTTCTGCAGATGATAAAAAAAAACTCCAGTATTGTTTTCTGGTTTTTCATTCAATACACATTATAGAAACCATGTTATAAGCTGATGCCAGGGGCTTATGTGGAGAGCAAATGTTTTGAGAACGACGAGGGTAATGAATGTACAAATGTGCTTTATACAATTGATATATATATGGATTGTGATAAGAGTTGTATGAGCCCCCAATAAAATGATTTTAAAAAAGACACCACCAACCACCCTATTAAAAATTATTCAACACCCCCACAAAAGTTATAATCTCAGAAACCCTGTCCTTTTAGAGTCGCTATAGGTCAGAATTGACTGGATGATGACCATGAGTTCGTGGTGTGCATTCCTGGTGGCAATAAAGATTAAGAAAAATGTCTGGTACTTCTGAATATGTTTGAACTATTGATTTGTATGTTAACTATAGGTCAATAAAACTATTTAGAAAAAGGAAGATGTGTGATGAGACAAGACTTGAAAAAGAAAAGCCTGAATGTGGAAGGAGCTTTTTTGTCCTTGCAATTTGGACACGCAATTTTGTCCTCTGTTCTGTGAGAGCTATCCAAGGTACTTGAGCAGAGGCAGGGACGAAACCAGAGCACTGTTCTAAGATCATGTTGGTGGCTCACAGGATAGCAAACTGAAGAGAAGAAAGAAACCACCCCAATCCAGATTCCTTGGTCCCAAACCTAGTCAGTACTATTCTGGCAAATGAATCATGTGCTGCCACCTGGTGATGGTTCAAACATCATTGTTCTACACTGCTATTTACTATTTATGGGAAAATCTGTCTCCCAAGGAATCTGGTGCAAAGTACTTGATAAATAAGTAGCTTACTGGTAGGAAACAGAAATGAATAATATCACCCTGTCAGATGACCACCTGCCCAGTGAAAGACATTAAAGAGAGGGGTTCCCTTAGTTCACAAAGACAGTGTTCTCCATCCTACTTTGGTCTGTAGCAACTGCAGTCCTAAAAGCTTGTGAGCAACCATCTAAGCTGCAACTATTTGATCTTTCCTCACCTGTAACAAAGAAGAGTGAAGAAAAAGCAAAGACTCAAGGAAACATTGGGTCCAAAGGACCCATGGCCCATGGGAAACCACCTCCACAAGCCCACGATCAGAACTAGACTGTCCACAGCTACTACCTCCTCCCACTTCTGACACAATAGAAAATCCTGGCTAGAGAAAGAGGGGGGAAATGTAGAAACCAGAAAAGTCCAGACTTACTGATCTAAAAGAGACTTGTGGAATCCCCAAAATGGTGGCCCTTAGACATCCAGTCTGGAACTGAGTCTACCCCCAGAGGATCAACTTTCAGGAGAAAGAGCGAGAGAGAGAAAGCTTCAACAAGTTCATGGAAAATGGAATTAAAAGATAATGGAATTTTTCTATCAATCTTTTGAAGCCCCCTCATACAGGAAATATTTCATAAACTACCCACTTGGTAGATGAATGGCATTGTCTTTTGACTAGATTTAGCAGTGGTAGAGGTCTCATGAGGCCTCAGCGAGGCTGTGGCTTCTAAGAAAATCACAGACTGCTATCAAGAACATAAAGTCCAGGTAAGGAGAAAAGAGAGCGGCCCTAAGTCTACCGAAGAATATAAACTCCTTAGAAACAACCAAGAGGTGTAAGGATCAGAACTATTAACCAAGCGGTAGATTTTTTAGTGCAGCATCAGAGAAAGTATCCAGAATGTATTTTAACTAATATGTAGTAAATCATACTGTGGTAGTTCCATAATCTATTGTCAATTTGAGACTTAGGAGTGAAGGGGTGGAGTTTAGCCTGTCAAGTCAGGTCTCGGCTTGATGACCTCATTTGGAAGCGCTAAGAAGATAAATAGCTCGCTGGAGGCGGGACACACACACACTCCCTGCGAGACGTCCCTGTTGAGAAGACACATAGAGCTACGCTAGAGCCCAGGAGCTGAAGGAGCCACGTGGAGACCCCGGCCAGTGCTGAGAAACGTTCACTGCCGCTGGATCCACAAGAATTTCCACCCACTGGCCTGTGATCTTCCTGCATTCGGTGTCATTGCATGTGTTTCCTGAGTCTGAAGAGGAATGTATAGATTGGTATCAGATATATGGGCTAATATCAGACTTATGGACTTGATCTGGACTGGGCTGGGATGTTTTCTCAATATTCAATTGCTCTTGTATATAAAGTTCTTTCTTATCCACATAGGAGTCTCTCTGATTTGTTTCTCTCATCTACCTGAACTAGCACACATACCTTTTTCGTTTTGGTTAATCTGTATTTACTAGGTCACTACTGAGACTCACTGTCCAAAAATTTCTGAACGCCATTGATTAGAGGCAGAGAATGAAGAGGGGGCTGCTGCAAGAATGGAGGCAGGATCACAGAGGTTGAGGATTGGAAAAGAGTTAACCTCATGAGGCAGGAAATGAATATGAGAAATCTCCCACATCCCAGTGCTCCAGACCCACTCAAATCTGCACATCTCCCCACACTACTGTCACAAGGTAGTCCTTCATTCTGCCAACCAGACTGTATACTCCTTATCTCCTTCCATGTTTTTCTGAGCACAGGGCTTTCACTCAGAAGGTCCATCCATAAATGTCTATAAAGTTGGATTTTAAATGTAGAGACAGCAGCCAAGTATTAGGAAGAAGAAAGGGATTACTGAATGTATCCCATGTGTGTGGTGTTCAACAGAAAACATACCAGAAAGGATCACTGTAAATAATTTTATTGTCATGGGGGCACGCGAGTGCAATGAGAAGCCTCAGGAGGAAAGTCAGCAGGGAGGAGCAGGAGAGTCAGAAATTGGGCTTAAGATCCCAGGTAGGTACAGAAGGGTACACCCCAATACTCTTACAAGACCTTACAGGTCATTCATGAGGACCTGGGAGCCTTGAAGGAATGAGTCCTGTTGCTCAAGCTGCTGGGCTTCAAGTTAGAAGGGTGCACCTTGGGAGATCTGAGGAGAGGGAAAGGGAAGAGAGAATAAACCATCAGCAAGTACTGTGGACAGGCACAAAGCTAAGCCATGGAACTATCTGACAGGGAGGTATATACAGGCCTGACGGGATAACTAGCAACAGAGGCTGATGGAGCCATACACAGAGACTCCATTCTAACCAGAGCCAAACAATTGGACAGCAGAAATCCAGACACCATTCAGAGTCCCCAAAATGGAATCCCAGACCTTACTCCCACCTAGCTTCCTTAAAAGTTTCCAGCTGCTCCTATGGTCCACACGTCTTACTTCAGAGTTAGATGAAGAGCTGGACATGGCGAAGGTGGTGGTCAGGGGCAGCTTGGATTAGAGGACATGAATGGAAGTCCTGGAAGGGAGAATAAAATCAGAGGCATAGGTATAGGTGGGACAGAGGGACACTGACAGAACTGTCCTCCTCTAGGCGGTCAGGACTCCAGTCTCCTCTCCCTTTAGCATCCAAAGGTATAAAGATACTTCAGTGATTCTATGAAGTGACAAACACTCAATACTGCCCCCATAGGCAGAAACCCAGAAGGCATACCACCACTTACCAGTCCGGGCTACATCTAGGAGAGCTGAACTTTGGACACAGTCCCCTTCCACTGCCAAAGCACCCACAACTCCTGACCTGAGGAGGTTGAACTCCTACCAGGCATCCCAAGCCTCTATCCTGGCAGCCCCAGGGCAGTGTTTCTCAACCTGTGGGTCGCAACCCCTCTGGGGGTCGAACAACTCTTTCATAGGCGTCGCCTAAGACCATTAGAAAACACATATTTCCGATGGTCTTAGGAACTGAGACACCCGCTCCAGGCGGGTCCACCGACATGCAGATACGCCCACATATGAGTACCTGGCATGAAGACTGTTACCCATGCTACACCATGCTTCAAGACAAAATTTCATTTATTTGTAATTAGAAATAAATACTGCACAATATATAATTATTGTTTTGTTTTGTTTTGTTTTATAATTATTGTTTTTTGCAATTAATCACTATGCTTTAATTATATTCAATGTGTAACAATGAAAATACAACCTACATATCAGATATTTACATTATGATTCATAACAGTAGCAAAATGACAGTGATGAAGTAGCAATGAAAATAAATTTATGGTTGGGGTCACCACAACAAGAGGAACTGTATTAAAGGGTCACGGTGTTAGGAAGATTGAGAATCATTGCTCTAGGGTGACCCTTCCCCTCTTGGTCACTTTGCAGTTGCTCCAAAATCTGCTAGACTGTGGGCACAGGTAGGACCCAACCTCTCCCTCTCCAAGAGGAAACCCCATGCCCATGATTGGCCTCTTCTGCATACTTGGAACTTTCATTTGGCAAGGACAGTTTCTTATGGCCTAAAGAAAAGCCTTGGAGGTAGGCAGAGTCATCCGACGAAGAGAGGGAGGGAGTCCTCAACAGGTCAGTAGAAAGAAGGAAAGGACTCTGTGGAGGAATATGAATAGACAGAGCTAATCTGGGCCTACCTTCCATCCCTGGGCTTGAACCTGGAGCCCCTCAGTCATGTTTCAGCAGCAACTCCTTATGCTGGCCTGCAGACAGAGAATGTACAGAAGCTGTTCCTCAACTTTCTTTTCCAAGCCCGCTTTGTGCTCAGCCTAGTACTAAAAACAGGCAGAAGCATTCTGGGCTAGCTATTGAAAGCTGTCACACAGGGAAAATTGTACTCAGGCCATGAGAAGTAAAGAGCAAGTGAAGATACTTCGCCAGACTTCTGAGTAGCTCAGTCAGAGCTGGGGCCACTTACTGGGAGGGCAAGAAAGATTTCCAGAAAAGAGGAACAAGAGAACGCCAGGGCTACTCTTTCACTTACTCAGTTGGTCCCGCAGCAGCTTCAATTCCTCCCGCAGGGCCTCTGACTCCTCCCAGAGAAGGAGCCGCCTAGAAGGGTGACAAGCAAGGTCATTCTAGAACCAACCAAGAAACCTTCTAGAGTACCTGAAATTCAGAGGCCTTAAGAAGGGATTTTAGTCTCCTGGCTCCGCGGCCGCCTTGGCAGAGGCGCGGGTCCGAGCCTGCATTGCCCTCGGCCGGGCCGCAGCCCACCCCGGGCGGCGCGGAGGCTCCCTGGGAACCAGGTGGCCAAAGGGCTCAGCTGTGTGGCAAGAGACCTCCTTCAGTGAATTCTGGTGTTCTCCAGGGACCCCAGCAGGAGCCATGAAGCTGAACGAGAGAAGCGTGGCCCACTACGCAACGAGCGAGTACCCTGAGGATCACACAGGCTTCCTGCGCTTGTGGGGAGGCCAAGGGACCCCACCCACAACCGGTGGTGCTGGCCAAAGATGCTGGTTTGTCCTCAAGGGCAACCTGCTATTCTCCTTTGAGAGTCGTGAGGGCTGGGCCCCGCTGAGCCTGATGGAGCTGGCCTTTGCTATCGACTTCAAGGCCCCTGGAGTGCGGCCATACCTGCTGCCCGCGGATGGACCAGCCTCCCAGGCAGCCTAGGCGAAGGTGCTGTTTCGGGCCAGTTGCAGCTATACGCACCTGGCGGCTCTCTCTCCAACTGGTGGCCTTAGGCAGCCTGACCTTGACTCGAATTGGGCTAGAGGCTGAAGCTCTGCACGAATTCTCAGACCCTATATCGGCTCTTCAGGAGGGGCTGCCTTCCCAGTGGGACCAGGAATCTTACACCCCGCTGCACTGAATTTTATACACAGATGTCACCGGCCTTTATTATCTTTGCTGTTGTTAATAAAGTTTTTTGTTTTATTTAAAAGAAGAAGAGGTTTTACCCATCACTTACTCATTCTGAAACTCCTGGTGAAGGCAACTAGTAGCGCTGAACCTTGCTGACCCTGGTTGCATCTGGGCTAGGTCTTGGGCCTGGGCCAGCTCCTGTATCTTCCTCCGAAGGTCCTGCAATTCTCTTCTATGAGTCTCCAGACTTTGCTCAAGGAGAAGGAACCTCTTCTCTTGGCCCCCGTGCAGCAACTTTAGTGATGCTATAATAAGACAAGTTAGGGGTGAGCCCTTTCAGGCCGTCACACAAGAGCCCTGAGACCCCCTCTTTGCAAATCAAGACTCATGCACACACACACATGTGCAGCAAAATTGTGTGCATATATCTACGCCTATGTGGGTTAAAACAAAAAACAAAAAAAACTGGCCAGTCAGATACCTTTCAGGGCACAGATCTGGTACTTCTGCTCTCGGTCTTCCAGTATGCCCTGCACAGCCTGCTTCAGTCCCTCAATCACCTACCCAGGCAGAGGAACCACATGAGCAACAGTATAATGGGCTTCCCCAATCCAAATATCCTCCTCTCACACAAAACATACGCATATACACCCACATACACTCCATATGAATCCACACTTCACCTGAGCCTGGGATCTAAACTGAGATCGGAGAATGGTGACTTCATCCCAGAGAGAGGATGGTTTGTGTGTCTCAGCCCAGCTCGGTCCCTCTGGGGCAGTGGGAAGAGTTTCCAGAGGCCAGGGCTGTTGATGTTGGACTCCAGACTGGGGATGGAAGTAAGGAGAAGTCCACGCCCCAGCCAGGTCCCCTGCTGAGGGAGTAAGTAAGGGACAAGTCCAGGGCCAATCTGTGGAACAGAGTTCAAGAAAAAGAGTTGGTATTTGGAAGTTGTAAATGGCTCAGGCACTAGAAGAAACAGATCCTGGAAAAAGAAAAAGACAAGACCTACCTGTGGCGGAGCCTCCAAGGGGATACAGCCGCTGCTACGAAGGAAACATGCACAGTCCAGTGAGTCCTGCGAGTCCCTTAGCTCAATCCCCATACTGCGGGTCTCCCGCGCTCTCTCACCTTAATCCCGGCCATGTTTCCATCAGTGGCATCGAGCTGCTCAGACCAGGTCAGGCTCCTATTCATATCCTGCGACAGAGGCTCCTGGTAGTTTGTGCCCTCGTTCTCCCAGCAGGGATACTGAAGCACGGCCCACGAAAGACCACAATGTCGGATCAAAAGAAAAGGATGGGGAAGCAATGATAGCGTGTGGATGCAATACCGGATCAGAAAGGAGGCTCTAGGGACCAGTCAGGGGAGCGGCGCTCTGCAGGACCTGGGGCGGAGCGGGGCGGGGGGTGGACTATCCTGATAAACAGATGTCAGGCCGGAGTTGAAGGCACCGGATGTTGGTTGAAGTTTCCCAAGATCCCAGTATACAGACGCCATGGAGTCAAACTGTGCGGGAGACTATTGCCGCCGAGGTCTTCAAACGCTCGGGGAGGCCGGGAAACTCGGGTTTCGGACTGGCTACCACAATGCCACCTGGGATCTGGAGTTCGCCTCCCGTGCTGACTACCAGCGGCGGAGGCGGCGGAACTACGTTTCCCTGGGAGCGGTGGTGCAGTCACACCTGCCCCGTGAAGCTTACCGGGAGGCCGAGTTTTTCGGAACCGCTAGCACCTGGCTATGAGGGCTAAATAAACTACGTGTCCCAAGATACATCAAGACGAATCCGCAATGTCCTCGCAGCGGGTCTCAGTATTTCCTGGGAAATGGAGTCCAAATGACCAAGAAACTAACGACCCAACTTATCCCAGAGACTCCATTTCCCAGAAAGCTTAGCGCGTAGCGTTTTGTGATGGAGCCTCAAGTCGCAGAGCTGAAGCAGAAGATTGAGGACACGCTGTGCCCTTTTGGCTTCGAGGTCTATCCTTTCCAGGTTGGTTTATCCCTCCTGCATTACTAGGGCGTAGTGTGATTGGTCTCAGGGCTACCTCTGTGAGGATCCAGGGACCCGCTGATCCTCTCCTAATGCCTCCTGCGCGGTGTCCATGTGACCCACTGGGACAGGGTGCCAGTGGGTACGCACTTGGTTAAGGTAGATAATTGGTCACACATTTGCCCATTTAGCACCAAATAGATGGATAGGAGACATTATATGATCCAGTAACTTGTGTTATCATGATTATTACGTACATAATTTAGAGGGGCAAAGGGACACGTGGACTAGAGTCACCTTGGAAGCTTCCAAAAGGATTCGGGAGAGAGCAAAGCCTGGAACAAGTTTCCATGGCAAGGATTTTGGTCAGCTGAGGAGGGAAGGAGTTGAACAGGCAAACAATTGACTGGTTTGTTCCCTCTACTAACAGAAGGAGAATTCATGACGTTGCCAAGCACTAGCGCTAGGACCGGTAGAAACTCTGTGCCCTAGCCTGGCACTGAAGACTCAGTACAACCACCCCCACACTTATTTGCATTTCCCTCTCAACATTTCCTGAACTAAGCAGCATGCTTGGACACAGAGCTAAGCCAAGCCGCTTGAGTTTTTTGCCTGATTTTTAAGAAGCACCCACCCCATCCACCCATTACACTGAGTGCAGGGCAGACAGGAAGTAGAAATGTTGGGTCTACTTGAGGATGCTTACCAGTGAATACATAATTATCTATTGGAAAAGATTAATTGAAAAAGAGGAGGGTTATGTACATCCCAAACATTGAGAACAGTTTGAGTCAAAGTTTGGAGGTGCTGGTGGGCTGGCAGGTATGGAGAGTGAGGATGTTTATCTAGAGGATCAGATAGATGTGGGTAGTGCCCTGAAGAGAGACAACTGCAGCCTTGCCAGTTATCTTAAACTCCAATCTGAGGCCCCCAGCCTCACATGCAGTCAGCCATCAAGACCTATCCAAATTCACTGCCAGCAGATTAATTTTGACTATAGTGACCCCATATGGCACAGTATTACTGCCCCTTTGGGGCTTCCAAGACTTTAAATCTTTATAGGACAGTCTCATCTTTCACCCTTGGAATGGCTGGTGGGTTTGAACTGCTGACCTTTTGATTAGCACCTCAAGGTGTAACCCACTATGCCACCAGAGCTTATCAAAACTATGTTGTTGTTAAATGCCATTTAATCAGTTCCAATCCATAGTGACCCTATGCACAACAGAAAACCCTGCCCAGTCCTGTGCTCAACTGCCCATCTACTTTACCACGTATGATGGATGCCCTTCTCCAGAGGCTGGTTTCTTCTGATGAGATAGCCAAACCTTGTAACATCAAGACTTACAGGTTTCCTTTTTCTGAATCTGCCCCAAATCCATTTCCTTCCATCCCACCCATCTGTGCTTTGCTGTAGGCCACTGTCCTTTCTCATTGGGATTACTGCAGTAACCTCCATCCAGTCACCTTGCCCCCAGTCTCCTACTCTGCAGCCAGATTGATCTTTTAAAACTGGTCAGTTTACATGTTCAGTTTTCAATGGCTCCTCATTGTCACATTAGATGCACCTTACATTGGTATTCGATCTCATTCCTGCTCCCCTCGATAGACCCTTACTTCACTCAACTAGATAATTTGCTTTTCTCCAGATATCCTCAATACTTTTTGTGCCTGCCTTTGCTTATTTTGTGACCTCTGTTTAGAATACACACCAGATTCACCTGCTCATGTTTCCCTGTCACTTTTTTTCTCAATCTTCAAGATTCGGCTAGCCCCTAGTCATTTCTATTTCCATTATTCTTAATTATTCATGATCTCCCTGCATCTCTATTTGAAACTCCCTGTCAAATTCAGAATTCTTCACACACAGATGCCAGTGAGATGGAGACTGGGACAAGGTATCTGAGGCCTTGAATGCCAAGTTAGGTAATAAGCCTGCCTGAAGCCTAGGATGACCTCCTGACTTAGGGGCCGAGCTGCCCACCTTGGTATGAACTTTTTCTGTTACAGGTAGCTTGGTACAATGCACTCCTGCCCTCAGCCTTCCACCTGCCCCTGCCAGGACCTACCCTGGCTTTTGTGGTACTCAGCACACCCTCCATGTTTGACCAAGCCTTCAAGCCCTTCCTGCAGACCTGCCATCTCCAGCCACTGAGGGACCCTGTGGACCAGTGTGTGGCCTACCACATGGGTCGAGTCAGAGAGGTGAGCAAGACTCCTGCCCTCCCCCCAGTTCCCAGTCTTGCACCTGCTTCCACATCCTCTAAACCAGTGTTTCTCAACCTTCCTAATGCTGTGACCCCTTAATGTAGTTCATGTTGTGGTCACCCCCCAACCATAAAATTATTTTCATTGTAACTTTGCCACTGTTATGAATTAGGCAAACCCTTTGAAAGGGTGGTTCAATCCCCAAAGGGACGTGACCCACAGGTTGAGAACTGCTGCTCTAAGCTCTTTTTATAGGGCTGTGGGATAATATTATCATCTCTCCAGGTTCAACCAACTTCCTTCCTCTGGCAGTCTCCCAGATCTGAAATCAATCTCATCCACCCTATGCTGTTTAACAACCTTTATATGAGGTTCTGATCAGGGTTGGCCTCCAACTACAATAGAAATAAACTTGTTATCTACAGGCATCTCCAGCCTCAAGCATTATTCTGGGCCTTCTGAGGACAAAAAAAGCTCCCCCCCCACACACCCTCGCTCCCTCCCACATTCTGGGTCTTCCCAAAGCTGGACCTTGTCTTCCTTATTGGAGCTCTCGTGGACACGGTGTCGCCATCGGTAGTGTCTGAATAAGACCTTATGCCTCTCCCAAACTTAATTTGCTCTGTGCTAGAGCCTCCCACCTCCAGGGTAAAGGTCACATACTCCCCTCAAATGGGACTTCCCATAGAACATTAACATAGAACATTAACACAACTCCCTCATGCTGATAGGGTCTCCATCTTGTCCTCTGTCCCAGAACCTTCCAGAGCTACATGTGCAAATCATCGCCGACTACGAAGTACACCCCAACCGACGTCCTAAGATTCTGGTCCAGACAGCAGCCCACGTGGCAGGGGCTGCCTACTACTACCAACGGCAGGATGTGGAGGCTGACCCCTGGGGTGCCCAGGTCAGAGGGCAAGTAATTGGTTGAGATTGAAAAAAATAGCACCAGCCCTTCCCACTTTACCTCGAGTTGGTAGACAGTCAAGGGCAAAATAGCTCTGCCTCATAGCTGAGCATGTAGTTCATGCTTTCTGGAACCTACATGGGCATGTCAGGTCCGAGAACCTACTTTGTCCTCAAAAGCTTTTCTTAGGCTGTTTAGGATTGCAGAGAGCAGTGACCAGTGGGATGATTTTACTGCCAAGTTGGGCCTAGAAAAGAACTGTCTAGGGAGATGCAGTCCAAAGACAGAAAGGGCAGTTTATATGGAATCAGTGGCCACTGGGTACAGTGAGTGGGTCCGATACCAAAGTGACCTCTATAAGCTGTTTTTCTTTCTCCCCAGCACATAATGGGTGTGTGCATGCACCCTCGATTTGGGGGCTGGTTTGCCATTCGAGGAGTGATGTTGCTGCCAGGGATGGAGGTGCCAGGTCTGCTACCCACAAACCCCCCCGACTGTGTTCCTACAAGAGCTGACCGCATCACCCTGCTTGAACGTTTCAATTTCCATTGGCGTGACTGGACTTACCGAGATGTTGTGACACCCAAGGAGTGCTACTCAGAAGAGCAGAAGACCTACTTCTCTACTCCGCCAGCCCAGCGGTGGGCTTTGCTAGGCTTGGCCCTGCCCTCAGGGGGACTCAGCCCAACCTCCTCTGAACTTCCCCTTCCCACACCCATTCCTAAGCCCCAGACACCAAGCAAAGTTCAAGACTGGTTCAATCCCAGAGTCTCACCCACTGCACCTCCTGGCCTTTGATAACTTCCCTCCTCTGCTGGACCCTTATTTATAGCAATGCTACTTGCTAGGACTTGGCTTTATTTTGGTTACAAAATAACTTATTTTTTATATTGTCTCAGGGAAGTTAAGTTTGGTCAACACGGTAAGTTACAGACTAAGGTGGATCCAAAATTCCCAATTTGAAAAATCCCACTATTGCGTGTTACCATTTCTCTGCAGAACTTGAGATGCCTGTTAAGAGTCTGAGCAGCATATATAACCCCAATATCCACCTCACTGGCCTGTCAGAACTGAATAAATATAAAGCACTTGTGTGCCTTACATGTTTGGGCTGTTATCAAAAGCTATGGGAACCTTGCACTACTCCTGTTCTTAGTTCTAGTCTGGGTTTTACATGGGCTGAGCAGGTGGAGGAAGCAAAGCCTCAGTGTCTGGAGGACCACAGGACACACGGAATGATCCTTGGTTCTGAATGTTCTCTACTGCCCCAGAGGCCTAGAAGGAAAAACTAACTCCCTAACTCACACCCCTTTCAGGTCTATGTTAGATGAGTCAAGTCACTCTGAATAAGCATGCTCTCAATAGCAGTGAGGATCCTCCAATCACAAATGCCTGGCTTCTACAGCTGAAAGCTTGCTAATGTAAACTGCATTGTCTGATTTGCTTGCTTTGGATACATCCACCAGGTGTCAATCAGAAGGGTCATCATGTTTGGTGGAGGGCCAACAGACCCTTATGGAGAGGGAATTGACAAGACTATAACATGCCACTACTTAGAAGGTAAACAAGCGGCCATCTAGCTCAGAAGCAACAAAGCCCACATGGAAGCAGCACACCAGCCTGTGAGATCACAAGGTATCGGAGGGATCAGGTATCATCAGAATAAAAAAATCTTACCATAGTGAATGAGGGGAGTGCGGAGTGAAGACCCAAAGCCCATTTGTAGGCCACTGGACTTCCCCTTACTGAAGGGTCTTGGGGAGGAGACGAGCCAGACAGGGTGCAATGCAGCAATGATGAAAAATACAACTTTCCTCTAGTTCCCAAATGCTTCCTCCCCTCCCCACTATCATGATCCCAATTCTACCTTGCAAGTCTGGCTAGACCAGAGGATTTGCACTGGTACCAATAGGAACTGAAAACAGGAAATCCAGGGTGGATGATCCCTTCAGGACCAGTGGTGTGAGTGGCGATACTGGGAGGGTGGGTTGGAAGGGGGAACCGAACACAAGGATCTACATGTGACCTCCTCCCTGGGGGACAGACAGCAGAAAAGTGGGTAAAGGGAGAAGTCGGACAGGGCAAGATATGACAAAATAATTTATAAACTATCAAGGGAGGAGGGGGAAAAATGAGGACCTGATGCCGGGGGGGCTTAAGTGGAGAGGAAATGTTTTGAGAATGATGAGGGCAATGAATGTACAAACGTGCTTCACACAATTGATGTTATGTACGGATTGTGATGAGTTGTATGAGCCCCTAATAAAACAATTTAAAAAAAACAAACATGCCACTACTTATGAGGATGAAAGACCAGGGCTGTACATAATATCATGAGCTGGGGACCAATCAATAGCAGCTCTATCCTCTAAGGGCAGAACCCAAAAAGTCAAGTCTCGAGGACTGTTCTACTAAAAGCTCTACTCACTCTTCCATGCAGGCTTTTTACTTCCTTCCACTTCCCAAAGTACAAAAGCCTACAACTATTATTTTGCATAGCTAGCACCAGGCTTTTATCCTAGAGGCCGACTCACTGCCTTGGCTTCTGTCTCCTCCCACTGGTACAGATACCCAGGTCATCTCACTGGTGATTTCTTTGCTGCCCACACCTTAGTTCAAGTTATAACAATTTGGCCAACAACTTTTCCAGGACTAGTTCATGTCCAAAGAACATGGTAGCTCAGTTCTATTCCATTTCCCCTTAACATAATTCCCTGAGATCCTAAGGCAACTTCCATTCCTTATTTTCCCTTTCAGAGGGAAAACAAGAATTTTTTCTTAAAACCAAAGGCAAATATCTCCTAAAATGAAGAATCAACAAGATCTGAGTTTAAGTTTAATACAACTACAATAGATCAATGGGCTTATGCCCTGCTACTAGTACATGATACACATCAGCTGCCCTGCCCAAAACAGCTCAGGGTCATTTTCACTGCGGTGTAGAAAGACGGCCCCTCCCCAGCCCCTACAAAAAAAGCCTATCATATCAAATACCATGTTCTCAGTAGAGTCTAAGGCCTTATGTTTGAAACATGAATACAAAAGAGGTTTTGTTTGTTTTTCTCAAGGCTACTCATTGCAGCCTAGCACTGAAATGTTCCAGTGCTCACTTCTGCTTGGCGAAATACTCTCTGCTCTTCTGGACATCAGGCTTGATAGTATCACTGCCAGGCTTCCAACCAGCTGGACACACTGCAAGAAAGAAATACCACCCATCAACATCTCTTATGTAAAAGAGCTTCAACTATATGCTTTATTTTTTAATAATTACACATGTATGTGTGTGTATCTCCAAAAGCAACTACGGTAAAACATTAAGACATTACAGTGGGTATGCTTCCAATACTTCTAAAAAATAGTTTAAATGACTTGCCCTAACTTCTTCATCCACAATAACCAAAATATGGAAACCACCCAAGTGCTCATTAACAGAGGGATAGATAAATTATGGTGCATACACATAATGGAATACTATGCAACAGTTAAATAACAATGATGAAATGGATGTGTTAAAACAAAGTTCATATAAAACTGATGAATAGCTAATTCATCTAAATCACAATAAAAAAATAAAAAGTAACCATGAATTTGCAGAAACATCTCATAATGTGGATAAAACTCATCACCAGAGGTAAAATATTGTGTGAGGACACTAATTGAAAAAGTGAAAAAAGGAGGAAGAACCAACCCAGGGACAAGGGAACAAGTGAACTAAAATCAATGGAAGTAAGGTCACAGGATGCCTAGTGGGGTTCAATCAAGGGCAATGCAGCAGCGAGAAATTACTAACCCCAAATGAAAGTTGAACATGATTGTGGGACAAAAGGAAAGTAAAAAAGGCAATAGCGGAAAGAACCAGGAGGCAAAGGACATTTAGAGGCCTAAATACAGGTATGTATATATGTAAATATATATAATAAGAGAATAGAACTATATACTAATGGCTTGAAGATAAACAAGTAGCCATCTAGCTCAGAAGCAACAAAACCCACATGGAAGCAGTACACCAGCCTGTGTGATCATGAGATGCCAATAGGATCAGGTATCAGGCATCTAAGACCCAGAATAAAACCATTCCCAAGGTGAATGGGGTGGGGGGCATGGAGTAGAGACCCAATGCCCATCTGTAGACAATTGGACATCCCCTCACAGAGGGGTCCTGGGGAAGAAATAAGCCAGCCAAGGTGCAGTATAGCATTGATGAAACACAACTTTCCTCTAGCTTTTTGGTACTTCCTTCACCCCATTATAATGACCTCAATTCTACCTTACAAATCGGATTAGACCAGAGCATGCACACTGCCTACAGTTAAGAGCCCACAACACACGGAATCCAGGATAGATAAACCCCTCAGGGGCAACAAAAGTACAGATACCAGGAGGATTGGGGGGGGGG